GATATATATATTATATTATTATATATATATATATATATAAACGTATACATATATATATTAATATATATATATATATATATACTTAAATATATATATATATGTATGTATGTATGTATGTATATATATATGTGTGTGTGTGTGTCTGTGTCTGTGTGAGAGTGTGTGTATATACATATATATGTATTTGTATGTTTATATTGTCCCGTATCAGGAAAACATCACTACACTGTCCAATCGAATTCTTCAGAGTCGCTCACTCCCACCTTGAATTTTCCTTACGAATCTCATATTCGAAACCATTCTCTTCTATCACAGAAAATGATGAGCAAGAATGAGAAAGAATTGTACACAGATAATATCGCGAAAATGGCAACTGATATAAGTAAGTTATATTAAGAACGTAGTATCTGCCTGTGTTGAAGTTTAATTGCTTTCACGATGTGTCGAAGTTCCGTTATATTGTCCGGTGACAAAGGAATTGGTCTTGCATTAATGTATTAGTGGACTAGTGTTCTTATCACTATGAAGCTGGATGTATTGGGCTATTGACAGTCGGGAAGGTCTATCAGTAGCTCATCACCAAGTACTACATAACGTTTATTTCATTGCAGTCGAAGAGTGGCAAGTAGTCATCCCCGCTAATGACCAGAAAGAGGAGAAGGAAAGGAGGGAGGCCAGGGCGCAACGCAAGTTGAAGGAAGAACAGCAACGAGTAAGAGCTTTTTGTCAGAACGAGTGGATATATCTGTCAGTGCGGAAGTGTGAATTCTGCATGACGTGTGATCGTGTAATGTCGCCATCTAGCGCGACCCTTGTCAGTTGGGATTGTGAACGTACTGTTATTATATGAACATATTGTTAGGTCTGAAATATAGAGTTTTGGGCAGGAATATTCTTCTTGCAAGCTAAATTATTTGTCTAGAAGTATGATTATACCTATTTATGTGCCAAAACAATGTTTATATACATACAAATACTCTCCGATATTAGGCCGCTTGCATGGCCCATGACCACCACTGCAGAATGGCTTTCACTAGCCATCGCTTCCGTACCACTGCGCATTCTTGCCTGTTTCAAGAAGCATCGGGAATGTATCCATAAAATAGGCTTTCCATTCAAATGACGAGATTCTTATTTCTATCTAGCTCAACATGTGCACATTTTTTGTCCCGAACACAACAGAAAAGCAGCAGTACAGCAACGAACTCGAAGCGGCCTATCACACCCACATCAGATGACGATAAAACCAGCAAGAAAGTAAAAGAGCAGTAAGTAAACCTGTGTGTTGTGAGCTATCTTAAACCAAAGTAAGTAAGCGTGTGTTGTGAAATAGCTATAGCAGAAGTAAGTAAACATGTATGTTGTTAGGTAGCATAAGCAGAAGTAAGTAAATGTGTTTTGTGAGGTAGATGTACATATTAGGGTTGAGATGAGCTATGACTTCCTGGTGATGTAGTCGATGCACGATCAGCTCAGCCCACGATACAAGGTGTATAGTAGTTACTGATGTGCGCGTACTCTCACATTGTATACTTAAAGCTCTGACGCTGTGTATTTATAGCGAGCACCCACTCATGTGTTGCTCTGTACATGCGTGTACCTCTCAGTGCCTCCAGTAAGGCTTCAATAGTGAAGGCGAAGTCAAAGGCAAAAGAAGTGATCGACGAAAGCCAGCCGGCGTACTACAAAACAAAGAAGGGCTTTGGTGGGTCTTACAGTATGGTGGCGATCCCAAGGCTTGACGATGACATGGCGGCGATCAGTACGAAGGTTGGTATCCGTTTGTGCCGAGTTCTATCTCTACGAGCGTCTCTTGTGATCTTCGTTGTCTGTGCTGATATAAACGTATACATCTGTGCGTCTACTCAGAGCAATGACCAAGGAAGTACTGTGGCCAATTTTACATTACTTACTTGTCTCTGGTTATTGCCAGTGGCAGGATCGCCGTTTCATTAGCTCGTATTAGTTTGGATGGATAAGTTGTTACCCGAGATTGACACAATATATCCTTGGGTTTTAATCACGTTAAATCGAAAGATTATGACAAATTACGATTGCACCTATGTATCTAAGTGTCACACACCGTTCATACCTCATATGACCAGATGGAAGCGCAAGCCAGGCCGAAAATTAGAGGGCAGAGGCCGATAACTGGTTCAGAGATGAGCTTGTACAAACAAGCCAAAGAGGCCAAAAATCGCAGGGAGGTGAAAGGTCACGTCACAAGCGCCAGCAACGTTCAACGGACGAAGTATGTAGTTATTCAATAGGTTCAGGTCGCTTTTTTAACTGGCCTTTTTAACTGGCTCAAATCTCCCTTTTGTATCGTGTATCAGCACCATAAATTAGGATTGTTTGTATATTTTTGTATGAATCCGAACAACACATACCCCAACTTGGGAGGAATGTCCTCTGTTATTCCTGCCTGACCGCTATTTCCCGTTCTCCACAGCTCATCCACAAACAGCTATCTGCAAGGACCCAGTACAACCGCAAGCAGCGGGCACAATGATGATGCAGCAGACGCCATCACTTCTGTGCCTATACCAAAGAAGAAATATAGCCTTGACGGTTTACTGGCCAAGCAGGAAAACTCTTCTATCACGCCAGTAACTGACGCCTCTAGTGGAGGCGATCCCATGGACATAGATACGACAAGGACCTCACCCTTGCCCTGGAAGAAGGGTGATGATAGCGGAGTCGAGTCAAATGGAAACAGCAGTAGGAAAGTCGACGGCGACATTGGTCGAAGGAACTCTGGTACGGGCGAGAAGGATAAGGAGAGAGGAAGCAAGTACGGACAGTATGGCAGCAGCAGCAGCAGCAGCGGGGGTACCGGAAATCCTAGTGGTTACAGATCGTCTGCACTTCGCCGAGAGGACTCACGCGATTCGGCAACTGACCGAGATGTGCATAGGGGCAGAGATAGGGGCGGATACAAAGACCGGGAGAAAGAGAGGCCCAGGGATAAGGACCACCACCGAACCAGCACGTCCAAAGACCGAGACAGGGACAGGGACTCGTATCGAGCGCATCGAGAGAGAGACCGTAGCAGGGATGGAGACAGGCTTGGGCGTAGAGACAGTAGAGATAATGAGAGGTATGGTAGCAGAGATAGTCGTAGTGGTAGTCGAACTGAGTCCAGTAGGAATGAGAAGCTGGCTGTGCCTGCACCCACTCCAGATGACTTGTTTGCGGCGACCGCACGAGCGCCGAGACGATCCCAACCCCCACCTCAAAGTACTCCGGCAGCGCACACGGCCAAGCCGAAGTACAACGGTGGGATTTCTCAGCGAGGAAGCACTATCACACCTACACTAACACCCTATCACTCGGTAACGCCTGGAGCGAAGCCAGAGCAATCTAATACAACCACGAGCACCCCGTCTGCGCTCGACACTCTCTTGGGTATCAAGAAGGCGAATGACGATGCAATAGACGTAGATAAGGAATCACGTGGTGCTACAACAGACGTCTGGCCGTCACTTCTCCGCACCGGAACCAATGATGAGAATGGCCCGAATACCCTGGCCACCATACTGTGCCCTGAGGATTTGGAACTCAACATCAATGTGATCAGTGCACCGGTGCCGGCGAGCGTGAAATCTGTGTTTGGGTTTCGCAGTGCCGCAGCGAAAATCAGAGACAGTGAATCCCAGGAGAACACACCAGCAACCGCAGCCTCAGCCTCGGGCGAGGCTGGCGCGAATATGACTGAGACTAAGAGTGGGAACACTCTGGGTCCACGCGGCACAGTGGGACATCTGGGCACGCTCAAGATAAAGAAGAAGGCTGTGAGAGTGGGCAGGATACAATTCGAAGTCCCGGGCAAGCTGGAGAGAGTGAAGTATTTCGAAAGGGACGAGACTCCGAAGCAGTAAGTGTCTGTTTTGCATGTGAACTTTATGTGTTGTGGATGCTTGGTTGGTATGGCGTTACCCTGCGGCACACGAAAATATAAGTGTTTTTTTGTATTGTTATCTTGTTGATATTCATCTACGATACAAGTCGATTGGGTGTACAACTACCAAACACACCTACCCTGCATATCGAGAATATATTCAAACAGCATTTGCACTATATTCATTGGTTTGGGTCGCTTCTAACATATGCCAATCTCCTACCGCCAAGTCCGCGTTTTCTGAGCCTTTCATTCCACATCCACTTAACAGGTTCTACCGTAGTGTGCGGGGTGAACAAGCAGGTGACGGCCAGGCCATCAAGCGAAAGCACAACGTGGAAGCTCTCATTGAGCAGCAATTGCGAGATAATCAGGTAGGTGTATCTTACAAATGCTGACAAAATTATTCATGTATACTTATTATTCTCCTGTCCCTACCTCGTCCACCTGTGAGTTCGGTTTCTCTTCCCTCCCTCCCTCTCTCTTCGTCGCTGCGCCGCTGCTCGCCATGTATCTACACTGTCCAATCGCTCCCATCTACTATGTCTATGTATCTTCTCGAGTGGTTTTGTACGTATGTGCCGAATTATCATGTTACGTATTGCGTTTTGTATAGTATCTGAAATGGTATTTTGTACAGCCACCCGGCCGCATGCTGTATTTATGTCAAGCTGCTTTCAGGAGGCGTCAATGGAATATCGCAATTGGAAGTGGTGTGTTTTCGCTGCGCGCTGATACGTCCTCCACGTCTCGTTCCTTTTTGTGGATGGTTTAAGTACACATTCTTTAGCAATTGTTTGCACTTGCTGTTAACAACGATCGGTATCTTCTTCGCGTCATCATAACGATACTCCGTAGATAAAACTTGAGAAGAAGTACCGAACTCCCAAGGTGGAGTGGAGCGCACCCCCACTTCTTGACTTGAGCAAGGTGTACGAATCTGCTGGTGATTCACACGTGCTTGGTACTGGCCAGGACTCCCTGGAGAGGGAAGTGCAGAGAATACGGGAGAACACTGAGATGAGCGCAACCTATCTCGCAGATGCACAGGTACGCACAACCCTGTTTCAACTGTGTGTATCCTATCAATTGGGGCTTTCTTTGAGGTCGTGGTATGAAGAGGGGAATGTGTGGGGCAACTCGCACTGCACTGCGTTATTCTTTTGATCAAGTTGTGTCGAAGGCTCTGTATCTATTGCACGTGATGTATTGCCCGGCCAACTACAGTTGGACGTCGTGTACACCTAGAGGACACCGGACTTCCTGTTTTTTTCGTGATATACTGACCGTATGTATCTACTAAATGTTGCTGGTAGTATACTGATCGTATGTACCTACTACATGTTGATTGTAGGTACCGCCCAATCCCGCGCCGCCCAGTGCAGCGGACAGTCAACCATCGTCCGGTCTACACACGAATCCACCGACAATGATTATCTATCAGCTCGACGCCGCATCAGTCGCGGCTGTACCGAACATCATCGAGCAGGCACAAGCACTTGACCAGGGAGCTGTTTTGAATACGCCAAACTACGTGGCCGACTCGCCTGGCCCTGCACTACCACCCAGTACACAACTACCGAACCGGCAAGACTCTCCTATGGGCTATGCAAGTCCTGCGATGACGACGGGTATGCTATGCACGTCTTCAACTCGTATTTTGTGTACTAAACAAATTGCGCGCGATTACTCGCAGATGTGTATAGGCGTTACAGAGTACCATACATACGTTGTATGTCCACAAGCGCACGTGCAACAATTTCACGAATGCATTTATGCGAAATACCTTTGAACAACTCCCGTTTTGTAGTTTCAATGGTTTGGTGCGCCACTATGAGTTCTGCTTTGTAGTTACTCCAGCAAGCGCTCACCTTACTGGAAGATTGAAGAACAACATTGTGATCTTGTAGATATTGATTATTCTTATTAGAGTCCACAGCAATAGCACGAGATGATTAAGTGCAAGCAAATATATGGGCTACGACCGCAAAACATAGAGACGTGTTTTATGGTAGAAACTAAATATTAGATCCTGTCGCGCTTTGATAGCTAATTTATATATTTGCCTATCATACCCCAATAACTACAGTGGCCACCCAAACGGCACCCACAACCAACAACACTACCGTCGATCAATCTGACCGGAGCGCGTCCTCCGAGAATGCGGCAGAACCTGAAAATCAGAATTCGCCTCAGTCCAAGGCACCGTTGAGGTGCTCTGCAGAGACAAATCCAAATTCTAGCTTCACTAGGCAAAGCCAATGCCCAACCAGCCGCAGTAGCACCACCACCTCAGGATTCAAATCCGCCCTACATGCCCCCGCCAGCTCACAGAGGGTCTGGTGATGGAGGCGGTGGTAACTACTATGCAAGTGCTGGCGAAAGTTACACACCCAACAAGGCACCCAGTGGACCGCCCCCGAACGCGCCGCCATCATCGCTTGATATGTATAATAAGGTCCCACCTAGAAATGACAGCTACAGTGCGGTGCGCGGCAATGCCGGGCCACCGGGAGCGTACAATGAGCCAGAAAACAGGAATAGGCCGAGCTATTCCGGACGAGATAGTATCACTTACCGGAAAGATCAGAATCAGGACATGAATAATAGTCCGGCTGATAGACATTACCAACCCGGTGGATACCAGGACGACCGTAACGGCAACGGGTATGAACCATCGGGCCGTAGGGAGTACTTCGAGGGACCTCCCAGAGAAGGTCCGCCCCGAGACTTTAGACCGAAGAATAATTACAACGAGAATCCGAATGCAAGCTATATGAATAATAATTACAATGAACACAATAACATGAATAATACCAGGCATATGGGTTTCAATAACCATCCTAATAACAATGTACCAGGCTATAGAGGTCGGGGGCGAGGCCGTGGAAGGGGCCGGGGCGGGAGATGATAACGGCGCTGAGTCTTCGGCGAGCATCTCTCACAATATGGAATCCAACAGTGAATGGAATAACCACCTTTTTAATTAGACGAATTCAAATCGAGGCAATCAGCACCAGATTTCGCAACAAATGAGACACCACTAGCTAGAGGCACTCTGACTTGCGTACCGAACTCGAGCGACAGTATAGTCCGAAAGGCTTATTAAGAACGTCAAATATCGATTTTCGTCGGATGCCATATGTCGATTCTCCTTTAGACGAGGATCCGAATATACGGACTTGAAGTAATCAAATCTTCAATGATGGGGGCTTATTTCCTGGATAGTAAAGTGCACTATCATAATGGGACGATAAGTACACAATTTCCACGTATTAAACATAGTAAAACCACAATCCCAAGCTCGTGTCGAAGTATATTCAGAATCTGACATGAAAGCGGAACAAACTTGATCGAACTGTAAAGAGCCATTTATTTTCCCGCCTTAATCATTTCAATTATCGAAGCGGCGCAGTGCCACAAAAAAGATTGTCTAAGCCATCCAAGTTTTCCATGTGCTTGTTTCACAAACGTGGGATGATTGGCTGCTATTGAAGTATTGTACGGGAAGCGCTGGATGTTGCGCCAAAGAATAAATGTTTAATACGAAGGCTACACTAGACAACAAAGTATCCAATTTGCGAATATAGAATAGTTTCCGAAATATTTGTCGAATGCAATGTCATGTGGGGGCAATAGTGCATTAGTATAACCACTATTCGTATGTTAAAGTGCTGTTTAGACCCTCCATAAAAGCGATTTGAGAGTACACCTGGCATTTAGACCTCGCAACCGCCACCCATACCAATTTTGGGTTTTTAGGATATGAATATTTCCAGTATGCTATGGTGAGCTCGTGATTGGACTAAGAGTGTTTTTTTTCCCTTTTCCCCCAGTCCATGATTCGAGATTCACTTTCGCTATGTCATATAATTGCGTGACGCTTTCTGTTAAAACTTCACGCCTTCGTCTTATCATCCACCATATCCATATTTCATCGCTGTGTGTCCTCAACGTACAGGGAATACAATTAATTAAACCCCTATATGATACCTGCTAGCTGCATTTTTCTTTCCCCCCCCCCCCCGGTTTCGATATTCTGATATTTGCACATTGTGACGATAACCGTCCGCTGTCGAACCATAATGTACTTCTTACGTACGAAGTTGTACCGTATAGATATTGGTTCTTCTTAGCTACACCCGTTTGTCTAGCAAGATACTTTCCCTTTTTTGCACTATGTGGGAAAGAAATTGATGTATATATCTAAAGCCCCAACTATTGTTGTATCCTTCTTCGGTCACACGTCGACATTCAGGTCATGAAGTTGACCTCGCATGTATAATCTGATATTAAAAGTCACCTTCAAGCTACTTAAGTATTTCCCGTTTGAAAAAATTGGCATGTACCATACAACCATCTAAACATTTTCATAATGCATCCTTACAAAACTCACCCTAATCAGTCATTAAAATATTAAGCCTGCAACCTTAATGTATCTCACCCAGGAAGTGCGTACCTTCACTTTGTGGAAACTGCAGATATTATGATATTCTAGTAGAATTTTTTATACAATATCAGTGTAATATAGCCATCGTGGTAAATCTTTTCAAAAAAACATATATGTTTAGTTGGAATTTCAATCCCCTTTTTAACGTGCACTGCTTGTGGGATACAGCAGCCCAATTTGTTTGACGAATATGTATCACATCTAGCAGGTATTCTAGCGTTGGGCCTAGCGTTAAACTGGAATAAATTCTCAGTATTGGTGATACATTTTAAAAGCATGCAAAAAAATATACAAGCTGAGTTAAAAGCTAATAAAATTGCTCCTTGAAGCGCAAAACAATGCCTGAGCACAGATAATTGGAATGAAGTCAAATCTCCACGAGAAAATCTGATTAGAAGAGATAACGATGACGTGTACGACTGCTACCAAGGTGATGTGCATGTAGACATATAATAACTTACGCCAAATTGAAATAAATATATTATCCCTATCAAGGCGAACAATCCGCAATAGGTGCGGTGACATTCAGAGCGTGCAGTAGTAGTATCGCAAATGGGTAGTGAGAATCGCAACGTAGAGAACAAAAAAGAGCGATACTGGGAATAAACGTGAACAAGAATTACATTTATTGATAATCATTTTGTGCTATCTCTGAGTACTCTTTCAAGTTCCTCGTAGATGAAGCAACAAACTGTCCAGGCATCAAAGCCTAGCCTACCAGAGAGCAACAGCAAAGAAGTAAGGCCTGACTTAATTGTATATGGATAAGCTTTTCCGGATCTAGTGGTGGGCTGGAGCTCCAATACTCTGCATTGTGGATGCGAATCTACCATTTGATTTGCGTGCACGGAATCGGCACTGCTCACTGCAGAATGTAATGCTGTGAAGTACGTGTGTATGTTAGACAATGCAGTAAGAGTGTTTGTACAATGCTGTGGTGTAAGAGTGTCTAGCACATGATATTAGGAAAGAGTGTCTGCTTGATTCTATGCAGTAAGTGTGTCTGTTTAGTACTCCACAGTAAGAGTGTAGCGCACTTGATATGCGGTAAGAGCGTTCTTTTAATGCTGTGCAGCAAGAGTGTTTACTTGATTTTGTGCCGTAACAGTGTTAGAGTACAAGCCTATATCATATGTTTTGCAGTAAGAGTGTCTGTTTAGTGCTGTGCAGTAAGAGTGTGGCGCACATGATATGCAGTAAGAGTGTTTGTTAATGCTGTGCAGCAAGCGTGTCTGCTTGATTCTATGCAGTAAGAGAGTCTGTTTAATATTGTACAGTAAAGCGCACATGATATGCGGTAAGAGCGTTCGTTTAAAGCTGTGCAGCAAGAGTGTCTACTTGATTTTGTGCCGTAAGAGTGTTTGTTGAATGCTGTGAAGTATGAGCCTATATATCATATCATAAGCAGTTAGAGTGTCTGTTGAATGCTGTATGATATGCAGTAAGAGTGTTTGTTTAATGCTGTGCAGCAGGAGTGTATGCTCGATTCTATGCAGTAGGAGCGTAAGAGTGTTTGTTGAATGCTGTGAAGTATGAGCCTATATCATATCATAAGCAGTTAGAATGTCTGTTGAATGCTGTATGATATGCAGTAAGAGTGTTTGTTTAATGCTGTGCAGCAGGAGTATATGCTCGATTCTATGCAGTAGGAGCGCTGTTTAATGCTATGCAATGAGTATATAGGATAATATTATTTATTTCAATTTGAGTAAGTTGTTATATATCTACATCACAGGTTGAAAAAATTCGTCGAAACGTAGTTCGTGGGTTGTTTCGTGTCTTAATACACAATACAACATAGTAGTAAAATTTTGAATCTGTCACGTAAATAACTGCAATTTGTTTGGATACACATAAGTGTGAACATTTGTGTAATTAAAAAAAAGAAGTACACGTATTAAGTGTAAATTAATTTTGTCTGTTTGCTAGCTCAGCTACTTTGAAGTAACTCAAAATATGTAAACCGACTATAAGAGGAATAGTAGTCAAGTTGAAGAAAGGTTTGTTAAATTGAAATATAGTAATATGCGCCAGTAGCAAGTTAATTTACGTCTTCGGTTTAAATCACAAATTAAGTCATACGTGTGAGAATAAGGCTCTAGTCGGGTGACACTCCGCTTTTATAAGCCGTTACATTCTCAACCGTCATCGGCTGTAGAAAAACTTCTTGATAGGATAAACCTGGTTGGGTTTAGGATAAGCCTGATTAGCAGGTTTTAGTTCCATAGAGTCGCTTACGTAAACAGTCAAATGACTTAATAAATATACCTGACCGAGGCTCACTGAGCCTCAGTAGGTTTTATGACCGTATTTGACGTGTTTACTACATTTTTACGGATAGAATTTTAGGTATTTTTATTTTCATTAATTCTATTTTCGATATTTTTATAGGAAAGTATTAATATACGAGAATAGAGAGCGCTATGTCGTTCAAATGAATCACCAAGTCCAAATAGATCGTCTGAATAATAACAAACAATTAATTCCTGGAATAGTGGGGAGCATTAGTTTAAGATACCCATATTTGGCATGTCAACATAAGAATTACCCAGCGTCTGCACAAACAAAATAGGGTGATTGCTAAACTAACACGGAAGGTAAGTATCAAATTTGGTACAAATAAGATAGGCAATTTTGTTGTGAATACTGAATACTAAGTAATACATAAGAATAACAAATAGAACACAAATGGGGGGTTTAGGTTGTGATATGAGAAGGTTAAACCAAGTGTATGTACAGAATAAGGTAGTTCCTAGTGAAGAGAAGTAACATGTTGTGTGGGTTCACAAGTGCATTTAAGACGGACATGCGTAACAGGCTGGTCCGAGAATTTGTGTACATTATATGTAATATAGTGCAAGTCAGGACAAGAGTACACACGTAGATACATATTATGGTACCTATAAACAGGCTGGAATGAATTAGTTATAATTTTCCATGGAACATGCCACAAATTGTGACAAGAATATAGACATGGAATGGGTGATAGGGTTTATGGCCATGACACTCGTCCGCGAGCTTTTGATACACAATCTATGTATTATTGGACAAGTTATATTGAGTATATATATATATATATATAACCACTAGTTGTCATACCAGTTTAGATACAAGTATAGATAAGCATGGTCATGAGTACAGGACTTGCACACGTACAGGTCACACACGGCTAGGCGTTATTATACCTACCATGACAATTTATATAACATTGTCATCAGAAACGGGCCTTAGCTACACAAGGACGTACCGAACCTGAAGGTAATAGAAGGATAGACATAATAGATACATCTACAAAATAGAAAGATATGTCTACAAAAGACTACGTATACAACTAGTAGTTAAGACACACATATAGCCACACAGAGCACGACATGGAGGAGGACGAGTCGGATCAGACGAAGGCAGCACATCATGAATTAGAGGCCAGCAAGATTTCAAAGGTGGGTAGTGTAACGATGTAACAAGTAATAGAATCAGTTGTTTAATAATAAGACGAGTTACAGCTATGAGAAATAAGAAGGGATCGACGTACAGGTAAGACAGGTAAGTGCCGTACGAACGAGCGGGGGGGTTCCGAGTTATTTAAACTCTTGACCACCGACACTCGCACGAGGTAGGGGCAACCCGGTTCGATTTGGCGAACCCCAATCTCGTTCAGGCATTCCGTTTCTTTATTGTTTAATAGTGAAATGAATATAAGATTTCTCCATAATTACGCATGACGATACGACACTTGATCGCGTTCTTCTTGTTTCTGAGTGCATCTTTACAGGCACACTAGGACACATAGCGAACTCGCAACAAATACAAGATAAGTTCAGGTAAGAAATGTGAATAATTAGGAGGCACCCTAGGTTAGGGCGATTAGCGCCAGGAAACTGGAGCATTCCGGTCCATCCACCCTCACTTAAAGCCACAAAATTTGGACCTAAATTCTAAAACTAGTCCCCGCTTTCTTTGTTTATTTATTTTGAATTTTGGGGCCTGAGACCCATTACTCCAGGGACTCAGACAAGAGCAAAAAAAAATTCTCCTGGACGGGAACTCCCGGACCCCAGGAGGAAAAGTAACTCAAGAGCAGAGTGTACTCGGAGGAGCAACAATCACTCGAAGGAGCACTGTAGACGCGGAGTTGGAAAATTGTGGAGTAGGAACACAAGTTTGGAGGAGAGAGACTAGTCTTTTTCTGAGACCCAGCAAGCTCGGACAGACGGATAACGTTCAACGTTTTCGAACTACGATCTCCAACAGTTCCGTCCCAAATTACATGGTACGATAAACGTTAACGGAACTCGGGCGAGAACTCAGACGTGGCGCCAAGGCAATACGTTGACGCCCACCACGTTTAACGGCAAGGCAGCCCAACGGCATGCTAAGGGGCGAAAGGTATACGTAAGCGTTAACGACTCCGTCCTCGATCTGAACCAACACAATGGAAAGGAACTAGAGAGAACGTCGAGCACGCACACGTCCTGCACCATCAGTAGCGGACTACTTAAGAAGCTAGCGCATCAACGAGAAGACTACACTCGATATTTCGACACTAGCACGATGACCGACAACCAACTCTGCACCGAACGCAGCGGCTACCTCGACGCCCAGCGTCCCCACTGAGCCAGCCAGCAGCACCGCACCCGACACTCAACCAACCGGTAACACCGCGCCGCTGATGCCAGGCAACTTGTTTTAACAGCAATCAGCGATTGCCTTTGGCATCGGTTTGCCACTCCCTACTGAGGCACCAGCGGGTGTGAGCGAAACAGTCCCGCGACTCCCTTTGACCCAGACAAAGCGGACGGAAACCGCAGGCACGCAAGACCTACCAGCTCCAACGAGCACACCGTCAGAACTAAGCACCGATCCGCCAGCGGCGACCACTACAGATTCGCCAACAACAACAACTACCCACGCCTCCAGCGCATCTCTGATGCCCCCACCGCGTGACATTCCCAGCAAGAAACCACGCCGGGCTCAAGGAGGACGAAGAGGCAGGAGCAGCCCCCGACGCACTCGACAGGAAGGGAAAGCCACGTTAGGCTCCCTCTCAGACGTCGACGAAGAACGTCGTATGGAACGCATGCGCAAAAGGCAGCACGGTGCCCCTCACGAGCCCCAACCATTGAAACGAGCTCATGGCACCAACATGAGGGTCAACCGACGCAGCGAACGTTCAGGTAATGAGAGCCGGAGTGGACGACGAAGTGATGAACACTCCATAAGGAGCAGCGATAGATCCCAATCACCCCGTTGATACAGCGACGACAGGGACAACACGCAGAAACGCCAAACTCGACCGTATGAGAAGGTCCACCATTCGAGACGCAGGGCAATCCAGGATCAATACACACGGGACAACGAAGGGAGTCATGAGGACGACTACGACAGTGAGCTCAACCTGGCCTCTGATTCTGCCCAATCCCATGGATCACGTAGCAACAAGCACAGACGTGTTGGGTCACACAGAGATAGACGACTAGAAACACACACAGAGATGCAAGAGGGGTTCGGGACAACCCCCACGGTACAGTCGCTCAAGCCCAACAAGCATACCGACTTCGACAGCAGTTATTGCGGCAGAGGGACAAGGCACCGCAGCCAACACAAGCAGCCCTCTTCGACACTCGCAGTCAACAGAGTATCGCGAATAGCTCCACCTCTCGCACCTCTACGCCACAACCCGCACCTTTCCACACGACCACTCCCAGAGGTGCACAGACACCTGTAGTACCGCTTAAGCAAACAAAACAGCAGCAACTAGGTTCTTGCAGCCTCCTGGAAGCAAAGATAGCAGAATATGCAGTGTCGTGATGTGAAGCACAAGAGCAACACGATGAACAATGATGCATTTCTCTGCAGGCCACCATAAACGCCTTACAAGGTGCAGTCCAGACCCAACAAGAGGCCTTAAAGCGTCAGCAGAAGACTAATGAGCCCCGCTCATGGCCAGACCGGCCACAAGAAAGGTATCGACTCCACAACGTGGCGGAACGTGACACAAGAGGGGCACTAGAGGAAGCAGTGAAGAACGCACAAGTCTCTGGCCTCGATGATGTATGGATGGTACGTTGGTTTTACAAGGTACTGGTTCACTTTAAGGCGGTCAAACCCACACTGGACTTCATCAAAGATAACAACAAAAACCTCACAAGGCTGACGGCGGCACAGGTGATCGACAGCATCTGCGATTACGAGAGTAGAGCCACGATCGACCCATCGTTCAAACAACTTGCTCGAGGTAACCCTGCACGGGAATATCTGAACAAGGTGGTTGACATCCACAGAAGAGGTTGGGACAGAGCTGAGAAGAAAGGGAATTTTCCACAACGATATCTGAACCATTGCCTCGTGCAAGGGCTGGAAGACTTGACAGGTCAGCTAACGTATGAACGAACCCTCCAGCACCACCCAGGATGGGATAGTATGGACACTGAAGAGCTCTTACGAATTCTGAACCCGGACATACAGGAAGCAGATCTCTTTATCCGCAATAAGTAGAAGGATAAGGTATCTAAGAACAATCGGCAACGAGGTATGACCGACGCGACGCAACCGCAGACAGGCTACGCGGCTTCGCCAGGCAGGCAGGTGGGTAGCCACAGATTAGAGGCGGCGCAAACCAGTAGGCACAGACACAGAGCCAACCTCTAGCGGCAGGAAACGTTGGGCGTCCACCTACAACGGCTGTAACGCATGCCGCACGAATGCGCCACCCAGCTTTCGACACATCCCATTGTGCAGGAATCACCGCCCTAACCAGCGAGTGGGTATGCCGACATTTCAACAGCGGCAATCTCAACCCACCCTCCATGTGAACGCGGTCGATGTTCCAGCGCAGGAAGAAGAGGAGGCGTCCAATCCATTGCCTCGCTTCTGCAACACCCAGACGAAGACGAGCGCGAAGAATGGGGTGAGGATCAACACACTGAGGACTAGGATGACCTCTCAGACGTCTCTCATTAGGACGTGAGCGTGTCTGACTCCGATGTAACCCTTCTACTCCCGCAGGGTGCGTCGGCAATCTTATCCATGAAAGACCCACTGATATCGAAAGACAACAGGGTGTTTATCAACATACAGGTAAATGGAAAGACATGCAGAGCCAGGAGTTGCATTGACACGGCATCCGCAAAAGAATGGAATTTACCAACAACACCAGCACCAGAAGGAGCTTATATATATATAGCAGACAGATCGTTGCGCACGAAACGTTTGGGTGCCACACTCGCCACACCAGTTCGATATGGGCTAGAGATGTCGACACAATCATTCGAGCTGATGATGTAGCATCTAGGGACCAGATTATTAATAAAAAAAGCCAATACAAATCCCAAATCCCAGAATAATCTAATACTGAGTTTTGGAATTAGGATTGGAATATTTCTGATATTAGAGTCATCAGAAATATTAGTGGTAGAATAGGTAAGATATACCGGGACTCCCGCGTATGAGAGAAATACTCAAGTAAATCCTGAGTCTAGTGAAAACACAAATAAAGACTCAGTTCGGTTCTCTCAGACGAGGGAGTTTTCCTAGCTGAGATAACCGTACTTGAGAAGAGGTTCTATTGTATTCCTATTGTCTTGTATCCTTCAACTACTCTCCATACTCTACACTTTTTACAATATCCTTACTTAGATAAGTCATAAATAACCTTAATATACTACATGTCACACATAAGAGATTAGTAGGCGCTAAGAGATATATTTTTGTGGTGCGACAAACTTCCGAAATAATACAACTATTATCAAGGGAAAGCAGAGGATTGGATTCCGAAGAAGAGAAACGAATTCCAGGAAGACAAAGAAGTAAGTGGAGTAACATCCTCTACAACAGAAAAAGGGAACCTTATAACAACTACTAAGGTGAACATATCGTGTGCCAGAAGTAAGCTGGACACGTGTCAGAGTGATACAAACTGTTGTGTGAACGTTAGTAGAGTTCAAGGTGTGAAAAATCTAATATGTGCCACAGTGATTTATGCTTTCGCACAAAACCTACATAAAGCCACTAACACCCACACATCAACACAGACCTCTGAAAATGCCAACAGCAACCAGAACAAGCGTGTACAATGGGAGGGAAGGTAGTGAAGGCGCGGGTGACGTGGGAGTCAGCCCAATGGGGGAGGCAAGCCCAGACAGTAGTTCGGGTTAGCCTACACCGGCGGGGGTACCCATCGCAGCGTCAGCAATGCGTCTAGAAATAGATAAGAGTATCTGTCAAGACAATCATGTTCTGGTGAGTCGGTTTGTGTCCAAATTGGAACAGACAGCACCGGTGTCCATACCAATTCTGCACAAGATGAGTGTAGGCATACATGATCAACAACCAGAGTGTCGCATGCCACTAGTGGATGCGGAGCTCAGACGATGATATGACCAAGTAATCAACGATTGTGGTGATGATGAGGAGGACAAATCATACAAATTAGTTTGTACATTAGTGAGCTAGAGCTCATGCGTTCCCGTTTATGAGATCAGATAAATGAACCGTCTCTTAAGAAATTACTCAAGACTTCGGAATTTACCAAGATGCCTAAGGTTATTTTCTTTAGATTGGAAAACTGTGAAGATATCATACAGTTCACTACACAATGTAGTAATCTATTCTTAGCTACGTCAATGCCATTGTGTCAGTATCCAGCGCTAGTGAGAAGACTAATAGATTCCACTGATGCAACGGAGAAAACCAAAGCAGTACTCAATAACATAAGAGACTCTGAGACATAAACGACTAGGCACTTCACTAATCCTGAGCAGTTCAATAGAATCATTATTGATCGACTCAGATCACACCCAGTAGACTATCTATTGGATAAGTTTCTGAATGACATGCAGAATAAGAGGATGAACGTCGAAGTGCGCACAGAGCACGTGCACAAGACAATGGCGATGTTAGAGGAGCGTTACCGCAACTCAGACAAGGAACCCATACACTTCCAAATCCCCAAAGTACAAAGGTACCTAGCACTTAAATACTGTAGTCATGAAGTCTCTGATAGGGTTTATTTAGTATTAGGGTTTATTTGATATTTGGGTTTTATTAGAGACTACATTTTGAACTGGGTTTATCCAATCAGGTTAAAACTGATGAACGGAAAACACATGACCAAAATGATAGTCACAGGATGTAGTGCAATAAATGAACAACGTCTCCTCTTGTACGAGGGGAGTACGTTGACATACAGTTATCCTCGACTACTTACTAAATTTTTAACTGACTTAGATGTTGTACATTAATTGAACTATTCCTGAATAGGGGACGAAGTTAGCAGGGACTATAGGATCCCTGGTAAAAGTATAATTGTTTTGTACACAACACAAAGAAGAGAGAGATGTCTCAGACATCAGAAACTGAAATGACGGTCGTCAACATAGAACAACCGTTAGTAGATGACACATATAGTGGCTTTATTAGTAGTGATACTAGTGATAGCATGCCAGTACTTCTACCAAACAGCAGTAGTGCGTCTGAGGCGGAGACGAATAGAGAAACCCCAGAAATCCAAGGACAAGCCAGACGCATGGGACGACACAATCGTAGACTCCGGACACACACTCGTCAACAAGTAGACCGCTTGAATGAGAGAATATAGCGGACAGAGAGTAGCAATGAATTTATAAACAGACTAAGGGTACTAGGTATTGACACCGAAGTGGATACGGTAGCCAACCGAACCGGAGGAAGTGATATGATAGAACAACACCAAAGAGTGTGTACCTGTACATCGACATGGACACTCCAAACCACACCACATCAAGAAACATCCGCACCGTTATGAGCACCAACGCCTTCGTCAGAGCCGAGCCACACCAGGAAGGTTGAAGAGACTAAGGAAGAAGGATGGCAGAATACAGAAGACGAGGCGGGACACATATAAGGGATAACAAATGTAAGTATATGAGTTGGAAGATCATTAAGACAACAAGGAAGTGGACGTCCACGACAATCAGGTACATAAGAAAACGTCAAATAGGGATACACATGTAAGATGCGCCATATATAGTACTCAAGTAATCTGGTGCAATAAGAAATAGTGGTCAGACATAATCGGAGTGGCAGTATGACATAGGTAAGAATTCACGGTAATTGATATTCATGCAAAGACGGTAACACGGAGAGATGTGCATTACAGAAGGTGTTAAACAGACAGGAAGTAAGTTGCACACACAGTAAGCGCATACACCAGTATAGAGCACAATAATGTGAAATAAGTTAGTACCAGGAGTGATGAACATGCAAGCAAGTGACATCAATGTGTACGTGAACACGAAGCAATGGCGATGTGTGTGTGCGTTCAATGTGGGTGTGCGCCGTCCAAGCGAGTTAGAAGAGACAAGGGCTTGCGTAAGCCCGGGATCTCAGACGAGAACGTTGGGTGATATTGGCGGACAAATTGATTGGCTACGAGAGGATAGAGACGACAATCGTTGGGGGATTAAATGCGCTTTGAAAGGAGTAAAGAACATGTGCTTAGATGAGATGGAAGAACGAAGGTCGGGAGTGTGAAATAAGTTAGTACCAGGAGTGATGAACATGC